TGAACTGCTGATCTAGCAGTAGCCTGCAGTGCTGCATTTAACCACTGCACCACCTTGGCTCTTAATGTTTGCCATCACTATTTTTAAATGCACTATTTCTACAGGGATCATTTTCATGCCCATAATTGCCAACAATTTACTAATACAATGAATTTGACAGCAGGAGATCTCAGAATTTCTTGCTATTGCTTGCTATTTTTATTTTTTTACGATTAAGCCACATTGCTCCATGCGGTTTCAGGTCACAATATTGTAATATTATATTATGTCTCACATTTAAATTGCATCATAGCTTTGCTTTCCCTTTCAATTATGTCTAGAAAGAAATTCAGCTCAGGCTCTGATTTTAAATTGTGGGTTCTATTTTTTTGATGCCCCAAATACTAATCTTGTCCAACTTTCATTTTTTCTGATTAACTTAGTTTCAGTATAATATTCAGAAAATTTCATTCCCTTTCATTCCTTTATGACTGGCTTAAAAAGATATATTCTAAGAATGGAACATGTACTTACTTGAATGGCGAAAACAAGAATGATAATGTAGTTTTCTTCTTCTGAACCATCTTAACCTGAACACACAAGAAAAAAAAAAAAACCAGCACTGTTAATAAAGCAATTTTGTATAAAATGGGTGACTGAAACAAACATTATGGTTTTCATTTTGTTCCTCCCCAGTAGATCTCATCCACTATTTGATTATAAATGATTTTTTCTCCCCTACATATTGTCGGATTTGAGACTGCAATGATATGTATAATATTATTTTGCCTTGAAGAAATAATTAATAAATAAATACATGCTATTAAATAAAACAGCAAGAAGAGAGGATTATGAATCTTATGTAAGCATCAAATTCAGCATCACTTTTAGGAATTTATAACTTAAGTCTCATAGCTCCAGGTGTTTTACATGCTAAAAAATTAAAGAATAACATAAAAGAACAAAACAGATATGCATCCAGAATTAAATAACTTCTCCCAAACTTCCTGGAAACTACCTGATTTATCCTAAGAGGCCAATGTAATAAAAGTTGCAGACTCATAAATCAATACCTGAAATTGGAAATTACAAGTGTTTTTAAAAATAGGAGAGCTATGCTTTCTCTCTTAAAGGGTTAGAAGTGACTATTAACCATAACTAAGATAAATAACAATGCCATTTATGTGTGAAAATAATTAATAAATTAGTAAGATATATCTTAAAGATCAAGGTTAGCAGTGGTAAAAGTTGTTCACACAGAACAATTTATTACCCAAAACTCTTCTCAAAATTAAAGTCTTTGAATGTGGAAAAAACCCAATTAAGAGGGAGATAGGCAACCCTCTTTAGCGAATGATTTCCAAAATTCACTTAGGATTTATTTCCCGATTTCAGCCACAATAATATTAATTACTAGATCTTCACACTGGAGGAGCCTATTGTCCTTGAAGGATCCTGCTGTCAAGCATCTTAAAGACTTAACCTCTATTTTGTGTATCGGGAAGCAATAAATAGTGACAACAGAAATTTAAACTTCAACTCTAAATCATCTTCCAGTGGTTGGAATAGGATGCATGCCAGTCCTAATAACAACAGAATTGAATTATGGGAGCAATTCTACACCTTGATTAGAATGCACTGCTTTCGATGACATCAATTCACATCAGTTATGCGACTTCAACCCATAGAAATTACAGTAAATTCTATGTTTTAATAAACAAGCTCCATGAAACATTTAGATTTTTTTTAATATGATGGAAAATATGGGCTGTTCCAGTTTTTTTTTAAAACGGTTTTAAGGATTTAAGCTAGCTTTTCCATAATACTATTGTTTTTGATTTAGCAATAATCCTACCATCATAGTAAATTATAAGTACAGTGTATGTACTCTATAACTAGCTATGTTGTTTCTATTTCTGTTATGACAATCGGATGTTTCTACTGGAAATATCCATATGAATGTGTTTACATCTTTCAGCAATAGCTTACATACCTTAAATTGTTCAAGAATCTGGACAGCGTTGGTAAGCATGCTCTCTGCCTTAAAATGAGCAGTATTATTCAAGTATTCAAGAGGTAAAACACCCTGGGGGGGGGCAAAAAAGTAGAATTAATATTTAGCAGCATAATCCAGGGCTAGAAAAGCAAGCATTTTTACTAAGATCTAGGACCTCTTACAACACATAAAGTAAAACAGTATCTTCAGAATTAGAGGACCATATTATTCACAAGGAATCAGTACTCACCTTCTACTAACAGTAGAACAAATGCCAGCTTTGAAACAGGAGCTTCCGTGCACATTGAAGAAAACTGTCCACAGAACGTTATGTAAAACTGACCCCTTTAGATAACTTCCAAAAATAAATAAATAGGTTTAGCTAGCCCACTGTGAGAAAGAGAGTAGATAGTCCTCTTGCATATCAGACAGAACCATCATGGTTTACAAATGACGCTCTCTTCTTTCAGAGGTTGTTTTACTGAGTCACAATATTTTAACCTGACTGCTCCTTATAAAGGTTGGTTGATAGATGTGACAATTATTAGGCAAGTGTTTTGCTTATTAAAGATTGAAGACACAATTTCTCCTTTCCATAAGCTGGAACATTAGAAATTTCAGTTCACTTCATGTGGCACTATAATTTCATGACAGACAGCTGCTATGAAGTCATAAAGAGGGTGACTGTGATTTGAAGAAGTGATTCAATTATCAAATGATCGGATTATTAATCTCCGTCTCTCTCTCACACACCCACACTCAAATGAAGCAATAATTATCTGAGCCCCCAATAAAATACATTTTTCCAAGCACACATAGATTAAAGCATGAGAATGACTAAGGTTTCTTTCCCCCAAGGTAATATAAAGCAACTTTTCAAATGTATAATTTCTCCAAAAAGTATGGGTTATTTTTTATTTATCTGTTAAATTTATACCTGCTTCTTTAAAGTCTTCTCTTCCCCCTAAAACAACAAGTCCATGATGTAGATTACAGAAATAATGGTTGGCCAAAATCACTCAGTGAGTTTTTATGGCCAAGAGAAGACTTGAACTTGGCTCTTCCTAGCCTTGGTTCAACACTTTCCCCACGGAATATTTCTTCTCAATTCCTTGCTCCCAGAAACAGTATTCAGGTTAACCGATAAGTAAAAGATCCAAAGATATGGCAACATAGATGAAACTGGATGAGTAAGACTGGATGAGACTTAAAATTGGCAGGGTTATTATGAGCAGCAAAAGCTATAATCCTACAGATCTTCCCCCCCCCCAAATAGATGACAATGCCTCTTATTCAATGGAAGGAGGTAAAAATTGGCTGCAATAGCAATAGCAGTTAGACTTATATACCGCTTCATAGGGC